GGTATAGTTTCTTACAGACTAAGGAATTATACTTACCTCTTGGACACTGCTATAAACCTATAAAGGATCCCTGTAGCAGTGTCGTTGTTATAGTACTGCTGTTAAGAAGGCCACGGTACTGTAACAATAGCATAATAAATGCAATTATTTCCAAAAAATACTTAGTTTATAATGTAAATGAAGCTATGAAGTCAATTGTTAGTTTATATTATATGATTGCAGGTTTGTATAATAAGTTTGTTAATAGATATAAGTTAGAGGTAAGGTTGTTTTAATGGCATTAGGTGCCACATAAAAAGCTATTAATAGAATAACAAGTCTTGGATATTCTGCATATATGAAAACAGTAAAAGAATTTTATAAAAAAATTCAACAAGAATATATAATTCTTTTAGAAATATTTCATAGGCTTCTATTAGTTTAATAGTATCATCGAAAGTTTGTGCTATCTTTTTATAAATATTGAATAGCATTTTATATGCAATATATATTAAATAAATTAAATAAATATACTTGAATATTAAATTTAATTATTATTTTTTTTATTAGAAAGGATTCTTTTATGTCTATAATATAGACAATTATCATTTAATTTATAAAAATCAGAGACCTAATATGATATCAACCTCAAATGCAAAACATTTTGCAACTTTCATTACAAAACCAATTATGAAATGTTTATTTATACTGCTTAATTATAATAATGTATTACTTTATAACCTAGCAAATGTTGAAACATATAAAATCTGCTAGTATTTACTATATAAATATAAGAGAATATTTGATTTATTATATTTTAATTATAGAATTTTGCAAGACTGTTTAATTTTTAAAGAGTTTAATCAAATTGAAGCTTTAATAGTACATAGTTATGCAAATAATTTAGTTGAACAAAAGAAGAAGAGATTGATGAATAGTGTTAAGTTAGTTGGGTTTAAGAAGCAAATTTTGCACTTAGTGCAAGATTATGTTAATATCTTAAAAATTTTTTATTATTAAATAATAAAAAAGATTATTTAAATAGAAAAGTTGCATCAGTTATTATTGACTGATCCAAACAGATATTTATTTGAAAAGCATTATATATAAGAACTATTTCAGTTTTACGATATGAATTTTTACAAAAACTTGAGTTATTTTTTTCAATATTGGGCCCTTTTATCTATCATTAAACAGTAGAGAGCAGGTTGTATTAGTTCACTATTCTTTTTTAAAAAATCTGTTCTATTTTGTATTTGGTAAAAACAAAAAGTTTGCAAAAAAACTACAGCCTTAAAGGATAAATCTTGTACTAGAACTTTTATGCTATAGCTGGCTTATAATTAAGGATAATATTATGAAAAAATTTGGATCAGCATGCAAAAATATTGAATATCAAACAACTATTAACTTACTTAATAATTTAGTTTTTACTACTCTTAATGTATATGCTAACTTATTTTAAACAAAATAATTTAAAGAATATGTAGAGTCTGTTTTTTGTATTTGGACTTACTTTTTATATTAGAAAAAAAAATTACAACAAAGCACTTCTTGTATTTTTATCAGACTTATTTTATTAAATAGATATAGGTTATTTTATTTTAAAGGTATTAGAAAACCACTTGCCAAGTTTTAATAAATATTATATAGAAAATACATATAGTAAAATCAGAGCAAATACATCTTTGAATGCAACAGTCAATCATGTTATAAAACAAGCATATGTTGTAATAAATCAAGATCTTAATATTAAGAATACATACTATAAAGTTCAACATTATCTATATAATGTTAAAACACTTAATTTTTTGTCTAATAAGACTAGTCTTTTTTTATTGCAATATTTTCAAATCATTTTTTATAATCATGGAAAAAGTTTTTCAAAATTAAATATCACAACTATCAGAAACAGCACTACTAAAAGCATTACTACTAAAAATACTACTAGCAGGCATACCACCAAGAGCATTACCAAAGGCACCACCAAGAGCACCATCAAGAGCACCACCAAGGGCACCATCAAAGGCACCACCAATGCCACTACCAAAAGCATCAGCACCAAAAAAAACCTATCCCAAATATACCAACTAGCAACTTTAGATGAAGAGGTGGACTTGTGACATTTATCAGCAGCATATAGTATATCACATTTTTTATATTTTGAATTATATGATTTTTGCAAACTTCTATTTATTAATAATAATAGTATAGTGTTCATTTATGGTTATGATTATTATGCTGTTTGCTATAGTAGAAGATGCAGTTATTGTGAAGAATTCATAAAAAAGAAATTATTAAAAACATTAATGTATTTTTAAAAATGAATTGAAAAGAGTACAAATTTGCTTACAAAAAAGATCTTAATGTCAACAAAGATAAAGAAAATACTGAAGAAAATTCTGAGAATGTAAAAGAAATACCTAACATTTCATCTAAGTTGGCCAAACAAATAGAACAAATAGTGTATTGATAATATACTTATTATCAATAAACTTTTAATTTTGCTATCAATGTTTTTTTCATATTAGTACTATTTAAAAAAATTTTTTTAATATAATTATATATATATGTTAATATTAATTATAAAAAACTTTGTGTCTTATAAAAGTCTTTAACAATAGAGATCTTTTGAGATCTTTCTTTACAATTCAAATGCAAAACAACTAAAGAATATACTAATATAGTTTTAAAAAGTTCTAACATAGTTTTTAATATATTGCTATATGATATATATATTTTTTATATTACTAATAATAATTTTGATATATAAAATTTCATGTAACATAAATATATAAATCAAACTTCTGTTATGCTTTTAGCTAATTTAACTATTTATATCCAAGTTATATATACTAAAATTAATACTTTAATAAAATTGTTTCTATCATGTGATCTTGTGATTAGAATTACATGTTTTATACTCATTAGAACTATTTTTATGAGCTAAATTCAATGGTGATTGTTTCATTCAAATTGGTTTAATACATTATAATCAAAAATATAAAACTCTTAATGTTAATACTAGCTTAATTATTCAATAGCCAAAAAAACCTTAAACTTTAAGTTTCTTTTGAATATTATATAATTAAACTAATTTCAAAATTTATTAATATATTAAATATAAAAATTAAAGTATTACTTTTTTTTTTTTTTTTTTTTTTTTTTTTTATTTATATAATATCATAGTAGAAACTTTAAGATACAATAAGAAATTTAATTACAGAAGAAAATTTCTAAAATAAAGATTTCTAAACTACATTTGTGTTGCTAAAAAAAGACACCCAATGTGACATTACACCTTCTATTTCCTAATAAGTGCTATAGATAATTGTTTCAAATTATTTTCTAGCTAGGATAGGTTGGAGGAAACCTTAGTATTACTTTTTTTAAAATATCAATTTACCTAATTTTTGACAGCAGTCTATATAATTTGCACATAATATTAATAATGATTTTAAGCAGAAATATGTATTTAATTTTATAATAATTAAATTATATAAAAAGTCAAATACAATTTTATTATTATTTTTAATATTTAAAAAAATTTTATTATATATAAGAAAAATTATACTATTCTTTATATATAATAATTAATTTAAAACTTTATTTGTAATAATATTTAGTATAAGCTTTATTTATAATAATATTTAAACTTAAAATTTATTTATAAAAATATCAATAATTAATAAATAAACAAATATAATACTATTTATAATTTCAAACTAATTAAATTTTTTAAACTAATTTGAAATATAACAAACTTTCAATTTAGTAAAAAAAAAAGTAATAATATAAGTAATTAAAGTAATTTAAATGTTTTAAAAAGTTATATGTTAATATATTATAATAGCAAAAACTATTTTAAAAAAATATTCTAATCTTTTTTTAAAATAATTTTTTTTAGATGATTATATATATTCATCTAAGACTACTATTATTAAAGTGTAACCTAAAAGCTAAAAGCAGTTACTATAAGAGTATCAAGTTAATATATTAATACAAGATTAATTACTCATCTTTTATACTTTTTTAACTTAACAGCAAAGCATGATAAATGATATTACAAATAACAATAAAATAAAAAATATAAAAAAACATTATTAAAAAAATGTGTAAAATATAAATATATTTAAATATAAATAAGAAATATATATATATATATATAAAGATGTTAATAGAAATTAGGCAAATTGTTTCTAAATAAATTTTTTTAAAACTTTAAAATATAATATCTCAACAATTATTAAACCAAACTTGATAAAAATTTTTTATTTTAATTCTATTTAATTATAGAATTAAAAAACAATTACTAAGGTTGGTTTAATAGTTATTAAAATATTTTAATTTAAAATTTTAGAAAAACTTATTAAAAACAATTTGCCTAGTTTTTACTGACACCTCTCATATGTTGAAAATAAAAATGATTAAAGAAAAAAATTATCTTTATATACCTTTTTAATCAACACATTTATTATTTTTTATAATTACAATTTTACAAAAAGTAAATATAATACAAAAACAAATAAGTACAGATAAATAAGCAATTATTAAAGAAAACTGATAAATATAATATAAATAAGTAATAGTTACAAAATTTTCCAAGTATATGACTATAACCTAAACCTTCAAAAAACAAATTGTTTTTATAAAAAAATAAATCAACAAAATAATTTTAATATTTTGTATATAGTTATAATTGTTTAAATAAAGATTATTATCTAACATTTCATATAATTATGTAAATTTTTTTGTTGTGATATTTTTTGCATAAATTATATAATAAGGTTTAAAAATATCATGGAAAAAACTTTATATAATCATATTAACTATCTAATAACATCAATATTGGGCATATATATGACAAATAGCAGGAAATTTTTGTTGTCTGCCCAATATTGTATATTTAATAGATAATCAAAAATTAGGTAATGTTAAGATTTTTTATATAAAGCTAAATTGTAACAAAATATTTTATATAAGATTAAATTGACCTAAATAAAACATTACTATAATGTCTTACAATTAAGAATCTAAGACTATAAGCTAGCACAAACAAGATTCTATAAATAAAGAGCTTTATTAAATACATACATAAATTAAAAAAAATAGAAATAATAAAAAAATAAAGATACAGAAGTACAAAAAGGACATTAAAAATATATAAATCAATCTTAATTGAAATAATAGTTTTATTGACATCAAACTATTTGACTCTAATAACTAGTATGTGTCGCATATAGTACAGTACACAAAAAAAAATTTAGAATATTCTAGAACAAATTATAAAACCATTCATATCTCAAAAGTTTCCTTATGAAACTGCCTTTTGTAATCTAAGTAAAATTATTCCTTGCGAAATTTTAAATATAGGTAGTTTATATATCATATGTGTACTATGAGTCCTACCTAAAGAAGTATAGTCAGATGTACCAAAGAAGTTGTGTATGATAAGCTTTTATTATCATACTAATGTATATAATAGCTATTAATATGCATTTTAAATTAAGTATTTTGGCATAACAAATCTAACGATGTAATAATAAATAATTTTAAATTCAATAACATATACCAATAAATAGGTCGTTGATTTCAAGACATTTAACTAATTATATATAATTATGTTGAACTGGAATATAAATACTATTTATTGCTATAGGATTTCACTTATAAAATGAAGTTTATATTGAAATAACTCAGTAACAACATATGATACAAATGATAAAAATGTGATCATTTATTTCACGAAAGAATTGGCATTGCTGTTGGAAAAAGCCATTGTCAGCGTTCGAAAACGTAATGTAATTTAATTTAAATCATTTTAAAATACTGTAGATTTTAAATATCACTAATAAAAAAGTTAGATACGAAGATTGACTATTACACCTCGAAGTAAGGAAAAATTAAGAGAATTGCGCATTTCTAATTTAGTTAAAGAACGTTAACATGGTTTAGAATGTTAATATATTTTTTGCTTTGTTAGTTTATTTGAAAACAATAAATTTCTTGCATAATTGCTTTAATATTTGCTTTGCTAAACTATTTGTAAAAAAAAAACTCATTATAATTGCTTTAAAATTTAATAACTAATTATTGAAATGTTTATTATCATACGTATATCACAATTTTTTATTTTCGATATCATACGCAACTACTTTTATTTTTCCGACCATACTTCTTTAAGTAATACGCTATACACACTATACGCACTATACGTACTGTACGTACTGTATGCTAAAAAAATCCAGATATCATATAAATGGCGCATCACTACTAATAACCTTAATAATAATCAACATGACATCACATTCTAATCTCGAAATTTACAAACTTATACTTCATTATTTCGTGTTGCTAGGCTTGTTACTAAATTATTTTTACTAAACTATATTACTGGTGGTACTTGTCTTTGGATTATAAATAAAACATAATAAAATAAATTAGCGAAAATACCTCTTTTAGAAAAAAATTACTAAACTTAATATATTTGTATATTATATTTATGACTTATTGGCTAAATTGAAATGTTCGACATACCTCTTCTCTAACTTCTGAATTACTTCGTGGATTACTGAATTACTTTGGCAGTTTATAAAGTAAGGCACGAACTTTTTAATTTTTTTTGTCTTACCTCTCTTGAATTCGTATTCGTGGCTCTGAATTTAATCTTGTGATGGAAAATCATTATTATGAAAGATAATCCGCAAAAAACAGCCAATCACAATAAAGCCCGCTATGCTATCTCATTTATTGAAGAATGAACTTCGATTCTACTTATAAAATTAGGTGGGGCCCATGCCGGGCATATTGGGTATCATGCCTGGCACTAGTGCCTATCAGGCTGTCTGCACCCATGAGCACAAAAGTTCTGGCCATTTTGTAGATACATATTGTTGTGTTCGGAAAACTGCGACTCGGTCGCTCCACAATCCAAGATCTCACGTAACGTACGATAGGTAACCTTTCGAAAGAGGGTGTTAGATTTGGCTGGTGGGTGATTAAGGCTTTCGGTTACTTTGGTTCAACAGAAGTCCAACAGAGTAAGTCACATAAACAAGAACTTGAACGAACAGTGATAATTATAGGTTTATAATGATATTAGTGTTAGTGTTTTATTGTGATCGTTACAATGTATTGGGACTTATTCTTTTTATAAAGCAAACGAGATATTATCGCCTCTAAGGGCCATTTCTGCCTTTATTTATATTATCTTTCTAGCTATGACTTATTTAATTACATAAACTCCATTTCTATATTTTCTTTATTTAATTCGACCTCTCTAATTTATCCACCTAAACCCTTATACTTAATAAATCCCCTTTACCATCAAATTTCCTTTTTCTATTAAATCTCGCTTCCTTGATATATTTAATAAATCGCATTAATGCAATTAATCGCCAGGATATCCATATCAAGGGGATGGCTAAAGCCAGGTGCGTTAGAGTTACTTTTTTGATGCAGTTATAGTTACTTTTTTGATGCAATTAGGGTTATTAGTTTATATAAATATCAAGAAGTAATTTATGCCAAATGTAGATCATTTCCAAATTTATACTAAACGCACCTGGCTTTAAACGACCCCATATCAAGGAATTGATCGTCATACCCACTCTCACGTGAGCCCCAGCATCTTAATTTCATCACGTTATTGGGTCTAACAATAGTGCCTAGTAATTTTGACCAAACCTTTATGCTTATAATACGAGGTACTCAACTTTATGCCAGACAGTTTGTATTTGCGCTCATGCCTATGCCTTTTATTAGGCATTGGCAGGCTTGCAGATTCTTAGGCTGGGATTTATCGTTAGAAGTTAGATACTATATATGGTGAAATATTTGGATCTGATTAATCTTGTTTTTCCGAATGATAAGGTGTTTGTAAGGAAAACAGGGGGAAGTTTTAAGAAGAGTTAACCCAGCGATCATTGCAATATCACATGACAATCATTTGGCCCGAGTTAGGGTTAGTTTAGAGAATATAGCAGATAGTTTAGTCAAGCCTGTTTAATCCTGGTAAACAAATGACGTCATGATATGTTTATCATGTGATCGTAGATCACTGGGTTAACTGTTCTTAATGTGTCCCGAAAACAGCTCTTGTGTGAAGATGGGGAGAATGGATGAATATGGGTCTTAACTAAATAAAACCATTATCCTTAACGTTCTCACCTATAATAAAGTGTATTTAATGATCTAAGAGTATAATACCAAAAGTTTAAAATATTAGAATTACATACTTTCGAGCACGAAATATTAGGATCGTCATTATTTTCTTTATTAATAATGGTAAGAATTTGTTTTTAATAAAATTTCGGAACTTTATTTGAAAGAATTTTTTGATATTGATATGACCAGGGAATGAGAAAAATCATGAAGGATGTAAACAAATATAAAAAAAATTTTTTTTTCAAAAAAGGCTCAGTAGTTGGATATATTTAGAATGCTAATGTTATAAAAACCAAGAAATTACTTTTGTATGCCTATATAAATTTTCGAACAAAATTTGTTTCTTTATCTAACAATGAACTTAATTGAAATTCACTAGCTTTAGCTAATATTAGACTTTACAATTTAAATAATTTGAAATATATTTACTAAACAATTACTGATAAATTATTAAATAAATTCATTCAATACATCATCATTGGCTATAGAAATAAAGTATTTAAATGAATAAATTAATATTCTTATCGTTATAGACTAGTAAATTAGACTTATTAATACACACGTTAAATATCATCGTCATTAGAAACCGAAAAATCAAGCGTAGTAGAATCTAAAAAATTAAAAAATAAAAATTTTTGTCGATTAAATTAAGCATACTATAATGAGAGTAAATTACTTACCACAAATTTTTGGCGATTTTGCAGTTGCAATAAATGAAGAATTAATTGGCTTAGAAAGGTTTTTAAAGTTAAGCAGTTTACTTGTAAGTTTATCTTTAGAGAAAATTGACAATTCTGTTGATAATGATGGAATAATAGCATCTGCAGACTGGAATCCATTTAATATTACTAATACATCTTTATTTTTCGCACTACTATTATCTAATATCTTATACCATGTTGATAATTTTTCATATATATCAGATCTATCAGAAGGATTAGCATTCATGCATTGATTTGCTAATTGAATATAACACACAGGAGTGTCTTTAGCAATTCAGGACGTAATCCATTACATATTTGCATTGCTAACGTTTCATCATACTCAATATTAAAATGAGGAGGTCTTCCTGTAGACATCTCAGTCATAATAATACCAAAACTATAAATATCAGCCGTTGTTGTATAAACAGGAGGAACCGTCGATGTTACACGACTGATTCTTCACCCGGTGTGCAACATATAAAAAAATCATTTTACAATACCAGATCATTCCGCTAGTACATGTTATGTTTATAATCCCACACCATTTTATTATAATCATAACATGTACTAGCGGAATGATCTGGTATTGTAAAATGATTTTTTTTTATATGTTGCACACTGGGTGAAGAATCAGTCGTGTAACATCGACGGTTCCTCCTGTTTGTTGTATATGGATGTTTATTTAACACTTCTGGCGCAACGTAAGGTAAAACGCCATAAATACCATCTTCCAAATCAGAATCATCCTTCTTTCTAGACAATCCAAGATCTGCAATATAAGTTATTAGATTATCATTAATATATTGATTTTGCAATATATTGCCGCTACGAAAATCTCCATGGACATATTCTGCTTTGTGTACTTTTATTAAATTTTCAAATATATCGACAAGCTGGTTTAATTTACTTTTCCAATTAAGATCTCTAAAATTTGAAGATAGGAAATTATGAAGACTTCCTCTATTTGCATATTGAAATACCATCAAATATTCTTTATTAGTTGTGTCTTGAGTTAGTCCATATACTTCAAGATTATTACCCATTAATATAAATTCCGTGTAACTTTTAAACTTGTTAATTAAAATAAAATTTATAATGTTGATAGTTTATCTATAATTTATTTATATTATATCATAAATAATTTTAACTTACCTCTCTTAGAAAATTCTTTCGTGAACCAGGTAAAGTTTTAAGTGCAACTACACATGACGGTGTACGTGATTGTACAAAGTCAAAACTAGTGCCTGTAACTATTCTTTTACCATCTAACCACGTTGCAGAAAATACAGAGCCAAATCCCTCTTTACCAATCATTTGAACATTCACTAATCTATTAAAAGGAATCCATTCGATTATATTTTCGTATTCCGTGGTTTTAAGTTGAAATTCCTTAATGCAATCGTCGATATCCTTAGTTCCACTTGTCCATCCCTGTGCTATTTTCTGAGGATCACATGTTTGGCACCAAGCTGACGATGTGTTACATCGGTTGCAATTTACACATAATCCATATTCATAATTTCTTTTAGAACTAAATTTATAAAAATCGGTAAATACTAACATATATTCATTTGTGATGGTGTTTTGAGTTAATCCACAAACACATTTACGCTCTAATTGACACTCAGATTGTGCATGATTTTTAAACTTTTCAATACATAAATATATAAGTAAAAATATAAGATGTAAGAAATTAAGGTGATGTAAACATAAACAAGCTACACATAGTAATAATATGCCAAGGGAAAATGCTTTTGAGTTTATTGATTATTGTTTACCGGTTTCTACTCTTTGAAAACTTTTATTTAAAGCCCGAAATCCTGATATATCATATGTGTCGCCGATTAGACGGTTCAGTAAATAATAAATAATAAACTTGAGAGCATTTTCCCTTAGTAGCACATGTAAATAGAATTTGTAAGTAGCAATTGTATAAACTTCCCTTTCTAAAAAGATTTACTAAATTTCGGGTTTACTAATTTTCCTCCACAGTTCCTATTGGACGAGAAAAAATCATACTTTTTGATCAAATAATGAAAATGTCATTGAAACAGTATAAAGGTCTGATAGAACAAATATTATACTAAAATTTTGCAAGGAATTTTTTTTGTTAGAACACAAAAGATGGTTTTTTAACTAAAATTTTAAGCTACCGACGATTTTTGGAAAACGTTAAAAACTTCGATTTTTTTTAAAAAAATTTTATGTTACACCTGATCTTTTAATTTGATTGGTAGACGAAAGGTGGCGTAGTCGACATTGTCCAATTAGAGATGTCATTTACAATTGTCCAATTAGAACTGTGGGGAGAAATTAGGGATCCTTAAAATTTCATGATTGCATCAATATTTTAAGCTTCACTTTATTTTTTTTTTTGTTTTGGTGTTAAGGTGACTTCTTTGGTCTTTTGACTTTTATTAATGACTTATTGGTAATGTGATTCTATGAACCATTACAGAAGAGAGTACAATTGGCTAGACATGTAACTTTTCTATATTACCTATTTAAGGAATCCATCCAAAGGTTCCTTACCAATTGCCATACCTAACATTTCTGTTTGGATATTTCATTTTAAACCCTCTGAACCTGTAATCTGTGTTAACTCACTGGATCATATCCAGATGTCTAGATCATCATCTCAACCTTAAGATCAATTTATCCTCAAGGTAAACCTCTCTAGAGCCTTTTATTCCATTTTTACAGTTAGTTTCATTTTATAGAATGGTAAGCATGACTATGTATATTATATTTATTTATTTTATTTTTATTTTTTTTCAAAGGCAATCTTGCCTATGTGTCTTTTTATTATTAGTAATATATAATTATATATTTATATACAATGTCTATTAATGAAAGTACAACTAATTATATGTATAACTTTAATCATTATTTAATTAAAGGTTCTGCTTATAGGTTACCTACTAGATGTCATAGTTGAGACCTGCCTGTAAGTTTTCTATTTAAACTTTCTAATTTTTAATACTTATTATATATATATACAATATGGTATATTATTATTTTTAAAACAGAACAGGTTAGGATTATCTAATTACTATTTATATCTAAATATCATTTCATTAGATGTTACTAAATATTCATAGTTTTTCAAATTTATCTTTGATGTAAACTTACTAAGTATGATACTAAGATTACTTCTTAGATTTATCCAATTTTAGTAGATTCTGTATTTACTAGAACCAGTTTGATATCAGAAGTATTCGAATTTCAATAAGTTCATTCTTTTCTTATAGTTTCTTTTTTATGTTCACTATATTACTCACTAGTATATCTTCTTTCCATTTCTGATATGTTTATCATTTTTTTTATATTGAACATCAACTCTTCATATTAGAAAATTTCTTTTTAAAAACTTTCTTATACACTGATCTTCTATTCACAAGGACTTAATCACAAAACTTCACATACATTCATATGCTTCTGTAGATTACAGAGTTTTGACTCCAACTAGAATTGAACTGTTGACCTTATCTGTGAAGGGCAGAATGCCTAGACCACTAGGCTATGGGACCCTAACCCTGTATATTATATTTATATTTACTATAATCAAATTTGCAATTTATATAACGTATTTCATCTAACCAGGTCACTAAAAATCCATCACCATTCTTTTGAATATTAACTAAATTATTAAAAGAAATTCATTCAATTACATCTTCATATTTTGTAGCTTTAAATTGAAATTCCTTAATGCAATCGTCAATATCTTTATTTCCACTTGTGTTGTCTTCTGAGGGTCGCATGTTTGGCACCAAGCTGGTGACGTGTTATTTCGCTTGCAATTTGCACATATTCCATATTTAGAATCTCTTTTATTATAAAAATCATCGAAAACTAACATATATTCATTTTTTTGCGATGTTTTGAGTTAAACCATAAATACTTTTATCCTCTAATTGATTCTATATTAAATCTACATACAAATTAAATATACAGATTAAATAAGCTACATATACAGGAATAAATCAATATAACTCACTTCTTTTAAAGTGTTTTGTGATCGAGTCAATGTTTTAGGCGTAATTATGCGTGACTGTTCATATGTATCAAGTATACCCTTTTTTACATATCGTATTCCATCTAACCAGGATGCTAAAACTCTATCACCAATAGTTTGAACATTTTTTAATTTGTTAAAAGGAATCCATTCAATTACATCTTCATATGCTGTAGCTTTAAGTTGAAATTCCTTAATGCAATCATCAATATCTTTATTTCCACTTGTCCATCCTTGTGTTGTCTTATGAGGTCACATGTTTGGCACCATGCTTCAGATGTGTTATATCGCTTGCAATTTGCACATTTTCCATGACTATAATGCCTAATAGAACTAAATTCATCAAATACTAACATATATTCATTTGTTATTGTATTTTGAGTTAATCCATAGACACTTCTACGCAACCTATACTTTAATTGACTATCTAATTGCACATGATTTTTAAACTTATAAAAAAATATATATATAAATAATATACCGATAAGTATAAATTAAGTATACGCGCTATTAATTAAATAAACTACACATAATAAATATGAACTCACTTCTTCTATAATAATTTGAATATTTTGTGTTCTAATTAATATTTCAAGCGCAATTATGCATGGCCATGTACGTGACTGTGTATATTCATCTTTAAATCTATGTTCACTTCCATTTTTACACAACGTATTCCATCTAACCAGGTTGCTAAAAATCGATCATTTTTTTGAATATTCTTTAATCGACCAAAAGGAATCCACTCGATTACATCATCATAAGATGTAGCTTTAAGTTGAAAGTATCTATTATTCAGTTCTTAGATCCTCGTCGAAAACTGCATAGAACGATAAAAGCTCAACCGTTTACGGGATAGTGACCGTAGATTATGACTAGACCGATAAATTTATCGGCTTAGACACGGCTTATTGGTTAACCGATTATATTAATTTTAATCCAAACCTTTCGGAATTATGGCTCAACCTTGCTCATATTTTATTTTCAATTTCGAACATTTTAAGAATTAGTTTTGGTCTTAACAAAATCGATTAATCGATTTTTTTTAAAAAAATCGACCAGCCAAGTCGATAATTTGTTTTAGTCGATTTTTTCACTATCAATTCACTATTAATAGATGTTTTGCTTTGAAAAATCCTTGGCCATGATTGGCATAAAGCTTAAATTGTTTCAAAGATTAATTAAGGTACCTCAAAAACTACTAAAGCAATCTCAATTTTCAAATTTTAGAGATCTGCTGGATTTGAAATTGAGATATCTTTGTTAAAAACTAGGTTATATTAAATTCAAATTTAAATGAAGATATTCCAAAAATAATTGGTGTTTCAAGGATTCGAGAATTTGATGCAACTAAATGGCACAAATTATAGTACAACTGGAATTTTTAAAAGGTTACTAGAAGGCACTAAAATTTCATAGAAAACAAAAATTTACAACACTGCCACACCCTAACCTTAATTTTAACATCTTTACTCCACGCGTTCTAGTACAAATAACCAATAACCATTTTTGGGGTTTGCATTACTTGCAGAAATAAATAAATAGATAACGATAATAAAATTTTCTTTGATATACTGTATATACCCATATTAAATCTATACATAAGATAAATAATCTAAACTCCAATATATGGGGTGAGTCAATAGAAATCAAGAAAATTGGTTTATTGGATTTTTTTTTAAAAAATGACTTTGAATGCTAATAACTTAACAAAAACTTGATCAAATTTAATAAAAATTTTTTAAATAAATTCTATAAGTTTGTAGAGTTTATTTAAAAAAATTTTATAAGTTTGTAGAGTTTATTTAAAAAAATTTTATTAAATTGGATTAAGTTGTTATTAAGCTATTGTCATTTAAAATTTTAAAAAATTTACTTAAAAAAATTTGCTTAAAAAAATTTGCTTGATTTCTATTGACTCAACCTCATATATATTGCATATATTGTATTCAGTGTTGGGCTGACCAGACCAATTCGACCATTTGACCAGACCAATTTGACCAATGACCAGTCCGGTCAAGAATTGATCAAGTTGATCAAATGGTCTAGTTATAAGAACAAATTGACCAATTAAGCCAATTTAACTATAATCAAACTTGCGTGATTGGTCTGTCTGATTTGTTAATTTGGTTCATATTGCTAGACCATTTGACCAATTTGACCAGACCAGTTTAACCAGAAACCCTTTGACTAATGACCAGCAAATTTATAGTCGACCACTAATTTGACCAACACTGATTGTATTGTATATATTTGATTTTAAATAATTTAAAAATAAAATAAATTATATATATAATTTTTCACTTTATATTATATCGGATATACTTGCTAATCAAAACTAATAGATACATAATACAAATTTAATAAATACCTATATATAAATATATATTTACGCCTTTCTTATAGATATAAGCTATAAACTACAAGGTCTATTATCTAAAGTAGTTGATGGCAGATCAGATAATTTATATTTTGAACCAAGGTATAGTAATAGTGAAATTCGAGAATCTTCTCTTTGGGTCATAATTTCTTTTCCAATTTGCATTTGTAATTCTAATGGAATAATCCGTGCACTGGGTGGTGGAACTTCAATCCCATTATAATATAAGTCATGTTTGACATTTGAAATGTATTTAAAGAATTTGAAGGTGTAGAACGTCCATCAGTAGAAAATCCACTACTTCCGCCTTCAGTTAGAGATGGAGAATCAACACGTTGAGACGGTATTTTAGTATTTGATGTTAATCTTGCAGTGTGATGAAAAATTAGAATAACTGTTTTGGAATTATTTTGAAGATTGTTTTGGAGATTATTTTGAAATTTGGGTATGTCGCGAAAGGTGATAGTACCGGTTTCCTGATGTGAAAGTGATGAATCACGAAATATATAACGACGTTTGAAGTAGTTAAACCAGCAAAATCCTATTACTGCTATAACCATTAATGTTCCAAGAGCTATTCCAACTATTTCTTAAGAAAAAAAAAACCTAAATATTAATATAAGTTGAAATTAATCAGCATTTACATATATGCATTTGTATTTAACTTTACCTATTATAGGTATTAGCATTGTTGAATTATTCTGCTATACTGGGCCTTTTATCGAAGAACGAACTTCGATTGTACTCGGAAGGGATGAAAAAGCCGCAATCGTGCTATAAATGAATGAAAGCGAGTTGTACTTATGGTATGAGGTGGAAATATTATATATGGTGAAATATATGACTCATCTCATTTTTCCGGATAATGGTTTTTGAATTACGGATGGGGAGAATGGGCGGGTCTCGAATAAACGAAAACAATCATCATCCTTGACGTTCTCGCTTATAACAACAGGTATTTAGCGATCTAATTAAGAGTATAACATGTTAATACTAAAATTTTAATTTAGTAGAATTACATATTCTTCGAGCACAAGACATAAAGATCGTATTTTTTTCTTTATTCATAATGTCATTCATAATCTGAGGTTTTTTTTTTAATAAAAAAATTTCAGAATTTTATTTGAAATAATTTTGGAAATTAATACAAGAAAAACAAACATAAAAGAAAGTCAAAGAAGTCTCAAATCATGGAGAATGGAAATGAATATTTTAAAACAAATTTAGTATTTATCGTCGGTTGCCAGAAGTTAGGTTAAATATAAAGATCCAAATTTTAGTTAGGGTTAAGTTTTTAGGGTCCTGAGCATTTTTACATAGTACTCTGACATGTGCTAGCCAGTAGGTTTTGAGATATGGTACCCCGGTGATATCGCCACCGGTGGTAAATAGCAACATTCTTTTAAAAATTCTTTTATATAAAGTTTTTTAAACAAGGCTAGGCGGTTGGATATATTTTAATAACTTGAAATATATTTCCCAAATATTTCCGCGATAAATAATTTAAATAAAATTCATTAATTGTTTATAAGACATCATCATTAACTATAGGAATAAAGTATTTAAATAAATAAATTAATATTATTATCGTTATAGACTAGTAAATTAGACTTATTAATACACACGTTAAATATCAACATCATTAGAAATCGAAAAATCGATTGTAGTAGAATCTTAAAAATAAATTAAAAAATAAAAAAATATTATCGATTAAAATTGAACATATTATAGGCAAGAGTAAATTATTACCATAAACTTTCGCTGATTTTACAGTTGCAATAAATGAAGAATTAATTGGCTTAGAAAGGTTTTTAAAGTTAAGCAGTTTACTTGTAAGTTTATCTTTAGAGAAAATTGGCAATTTTGTTGATAATGTTGGAATAATTTCATCAGCAAACTGGAATCCCTTTAATATTACTAATTCATCTTTATTTTCCGCACTACTATTATCTAATATCTTATACCACATAAATAGTTTATCAAATATATCAGATGCAGTTGGTCTATCAGAAGGATTAGCATTCATACATTGATTTGCTAATTGGATATAACACTCAGGAGTGTCTTTAGCAAATTCAGGACGTAATCCATTACATATTTGTATTGCTAACGTTTCATCATACTCAATATCAAAATGAGGAGGTCTTCCCGTAGACATCTCAGTCATAATAATACCAAAGCTATAAATATCAGCCGCTGTTGTATATGGATGTTTATTTAACACTTCTGGAGCAACGTAAGGTAAAACGCCATAAATATCATCTTCCAAATCAGAATCATCCTTCTTTCTAGATAACCCAAGGTCTGCAATATGAGATACTAGATTATCATTAATATATTGACTTTGCAATATATTACCGCTATGAAAATCTCCATGGACATATTCTGCTTTGTGTACTTTTATTAAATTTTCAGATATATCGACAAGCTGGTTTAATTTACTTTTCCAATTAAGGTCTCTAAAATTTGAGGATAGGAAATTATGAAGACTTCCTCTATTTGCATATTGAAATACCATCAAATATTCTTTACTAGTTGTGTCTTGAGTTAGTCCATATACTTCAAGATTATTACCCATTAATCTAAATTCAGTGTAACTTTTAAACTTGTTAATTAAAATAAATTTATAATGTTAATAGTTTATCTATAATTTATTTATATTATATCATAAATACCCCGATCACTATATCAAGATCACTGGGTATTTAGCAAAAATACCCTGACCGTATGTGTACAAGCGGAAACGAAGTTTCCGCTAATACCCAACGGATCAGGATACAAATAATTTTAACTTACCTCTCTTAGAAAACTCTTTTGTGAACCAGGTAAAGTTTTAAGTGCAACTACACATGACGGTGTACGTGATTGTACACAGGAGCGAGGATAATAACTAGTGACTGAAACTATTCTTTTACCATCTAACCAAGTTGCAGAAAACACAGAGCCAAATCCTCCTTCACCAATCATTTGAACATTAACTAATCTATTAAAAGGAATCCACTCGATTACATTTTCATATTCTGTGGTTTTAAATTGAAATTCTTTAATGCAATCGTCGATATCCTTATTTCCACTTGTCCATCCTTGTGTAGTTTTCTGAGGGTCGCATGCTTGACACCATGCTATAGATGTGTAATTTCGGTTGCAATTTACACATTCTCCATTATATTTATCTCTTTTTTTATAAAATTCATCAGATACCAACATATATTCATTTTTTGCAGTGTTTAAAGTTAGACCATATACTTTAAGAACACTATTCTTTGATTGTACATGATCTACAAACTTATTAAAAAGTATATAGATATAGGTTAAAATACAGCTATATATTGTGTAATAATGATAAATTGTTAATATTTTAACTTACTTCATTTAACATATCTAATAAACTTTGTGTTCTATTTAATATTTTAAGATCAACTTTATA